TCTCACCTCGGCTTCCCTGAACTTCCTGTCCAGTACAAGATCACATGGGGCAGAGCAGCCTCCAGCAACTGTTCATCCACTAGCTCGGGGGGGGGTTAGAAGACACACTAGCACACATGAGGGGGGTTCCCTAGGACCCAGCAGGGCCAGTGCTCAGGGACTGGCTGATGACGGAGAAGCGTCCATTGTGAGTGATGGAGGACAAGTGTCTCTGACGGGTTAGGAGTCTTCCCAAAGCCAGCTTGGCACAATGCATAGAATACAGTGTGATGTTGTCATGAAGCCATCGGTCCCCGGTGTCCTCTTCTTACTTCTCAGCGTTTCATCCTCGCCCTTCATTCTTCTCTTCTTGTAGGGACTCGGCGTGATGGAGGTTGAGGCCTCGTCTGCTGGAGGCTCTGACCAAGACAAGGCTGTGAAAACTCACTTCAAAGTGACCCGGTTCATTATGGAGGCCGGTGAGTGCCATATGTAGGTGATGGGGGTGGACCTGAGAGAGGACTGTGCTAGGTGATGGGTGTGGACCTGAGAGAGGACTGTGCTAGGTGATGGGTGTGGACCTGAGAGAGGACTGTGCTAGGCGATGGCTGTGGACCTGAAAGAGGACTGTGATTGGAGTGGACCTGAGAGAGGACTGTGATTGGTGTGGACCTGAGAGAGGACTGTGATGGGCGTGGACCTGAGAGAGGACTGTGATGGGCGTGGACCTGAGGGAGGACTGTGAAGGACTGTGATGAGCGTGGACCTGAGAGAGGACTGTGATGGGCGTGGACCTGAGAGAGGACTGTGATGGGCGTGGACCTGAGAGAGGACTGTGATGGGGGTGGACCTGAGAGAGGACTGTGCTAGGCGATGGGTGTGGACCTGAGAGAGGACTGTGATGGGGGTGGACCTGAGAGAGGACTGTGCTAGGCGATGGGTGTGGACCTGAGAGAGGACTGTGATGGGTGTGGACATGGAAGGAGAATGTTCCGGGTGATGGGTGTGGACGTGGAAGGAGACGGTGATGGGTGTGGACGTGGAAGGAGACGGTGATGGACGTGGAAGGAGACGGTGATGGGCGTGGACGTGGAAGGAGACGGTGATGGGTGTGGACGTGGAAGGAGACGGTGATGGGCGTGGACGTGGAAGGAGACGGTGATGGGCGTGAAAGGAGACAGTGATGGGTGTGGAAGGAGACGGTGATGGGCGTGGAAGGAGACGGTGATGGGTGTGGAAGGAGACGGTGATGGGTGTGGAAGGAGACGGTGATGGGCGTGGACGTGGAAGGAGACGGTGATGGGCGTGGAAGGAGACGGTGATGGGCGTGGAAGGAGACGGTGATGGACGTGGACGTGGAAGGAGACGGTGATGGGTGTGGACCTGGTGACGGGCTCGGGAATTATACTTGATGATGCCAGCGTGCGGCCACCAGCTGGAGTGCCTCTAGAGAGGAGCCTTCGGGCGACGCATTGCGTGGATAGTGGACGCCTTTACCCCGAGAGGTAACAAGCATGTAGTGCAGGGGGGGAAGGGTTACTGCAAGGGTAAGAGGAAGAGGGTGGTGTTCTGTAGCCCTTTGCTAGGGCGGCAGCAGGTGCCGGTAAATCGCTAAGGGTTGAAGATTGAGGTCACAAGGCGGCAGTGACCTCGCTCATGTCTGTTGTGTCTGTGCTTGTGGGACAAATGCCCTTCCTGACCACCTGACCACCTTCTGAAAATGCTATTTGCCTGATCCTAATCCTCAGCCTTCCACGCTCGATGAGTCACTGGTTTTCGGGTGAAGTTGTAATTCCCGATCCTCATTCAGGGTCAGCGGTGAA